AATCACCTTCCGTCGCGAAACGTTGTAAATATCTCATCTTCAGTACAATGTACTCTGTGTCGAGTGTGGAGGCGCGGTGGCCTCATGGTTAGTGCGCTCGACTCCGGATCGAGCGGTCCGGGTTCGAGCCCTGCCCTGGGACATTATGTTGTGTTATTGGGAAAGACACTTTCCTCTCACAGCGCCTCTCTCCAACCATGTGTACAAATGAGTCCCGGCGAATTTGATGCTGGGGTGATGGACTAGCATCCCATCCAGGGGTGAGTAGAAATATTCCTAGTCGCTTCATGTTTCAGAAACTGGGATAAGGATGGTCCGGCCTGATGGGCCACTTGGCTCGTATGTAGACTTTAACCTTACCCTCATGGTGTGTGTCACAGCGGCGAGCTAATCAAGAGAAGTTTGTATTTCCAACGTGCGCGCGCACATGTAAAAAAGTAATTTTAGATTCTAATCACACAAAACGGCCTCACAAACATTCTAGTAGGTTACATGAAGTTCACCCTACACCGCTACCGTTTACATAGGCAACTACTACCTCAAGCAGATTTTTTACATACAGCGCCTGAAAACATGCCTGAGAAGAACTTTATTTTACAAGCACTCCATTCAGTCATGCGAGGAGTTTTTGTTGGCAGTTTTCGCTCGTCTGACAGCCAAAAGATGTCAATTCAGCTTTGTGCAATCCGTGGTTTAACCACGAGCAGAACAAAATGACACTCATTGAACTCTCATATACTCTTTTCCTGTTCTACAGGTTTTTCCTTGTTATTTAAAGCTCAAAGTCCGATCAAAACTACATGACGTCAATTTCTGAGCAAGTGCTTGAATCGTGTTTCGATAAAGCCTGATGGGAACAGGAGTATCACCTCACTACTCCCGGATAGGGTGCTGGTGCATTTCACGCACGTCCCCACTCCCTACGGTTTTCTTTCAGTGCCAGGTTACCTTGCAACAGTTGTGATTGATGGAAGATGAAGAGGGTAGTTGTGGGGTGGGGTGGTGTGGTGGGGGGTGGGTAAGGAAGAGAGAGCGATGGAAACACAAGAGTTGATCTGGAGTTCATCAATTTTCCCTTCCCTCCCCAGGTGCGATACATAACAAGTAATTATTGAACTTATTGTCCATGACAACCGAAGCATATTTACCACGCCCCTTCGCGGCTTAGTAGCTGTCGTGCACTACTTACCGCAACTTTGATGAATAATTGTTCATAATGATCTATCTTGTAAGTGATAGCGATTAAATAAAAGTGAAGGGCGAGAAACATGTACAATATGCAACGCAAGTAGGTCACGTAGAGCGAATGCAGTAAACTCCAGAAGGGAAGTTCAAGAAATTGCGTAACCAAACCTCCACAGGAACCAGGAACAATCAAGCTGTTATATTGTTAACCAGACATGGAGAGGAAGTATAAAATCGGTATTCAAGAAGCTTCTAGTTCAAAAACCTCAAACTGTTCCTTCCTTCTACGTGTTAGTTTAGGATGGTACATCGAAGCGTTTTTTGTTTAGGTGAAATTAACATGCCGTCAGTTGTCTGCCTCTTAATGACTCCTTTCCCGCCTCATTGGAATCACCATGGCAACAGAAACAATCGTAACGAAGGCTTGACGCACGATATTACCTTTAAATGACAACTTTGTGAGTGATTGCCTTTTCACTTGTCAGAGATGAATGTATATGATAGAAAATAATCGTTAACTCAAAATAGCGCTCGTTTTAGTGATGGTCTTTTAAACAAATTACGCGCTAATTCTTTGCGTGATGCATAAGCAAAAACTTCCCCCAGGGCAAGACGTTGCATTCTTCTAACATATCCTGCCCTTGTTAACTCTTTTAATCAATTTTTGGTCTGCATCACTTATTGTTCGCGCGGCACGTATCCAGCGCTCGCGATGGAAGTCATAGAAGCGAGACTCTGCATTGTACGCATTTAAGCACGCTCGGCCATCCCGAACGGTTAAGCTTGCTGATCCGTCAAGTGTTTTCAGTCTTCAAAATGCAGCGTCATGAATTGATAAAAACCGCCCAGAAATCACCAGAAATACACAGATATTGAGTTTATTTACTCCTCTTATCATTTAAACTGGGTTTTTATAGTTTAAAACTCTTTGAAAACTTTGAAAAGTTCTTTTCGTGAATAGGTTAAGCTCAGTAAATCTGGGTGCAGTTGTCGAATTAAACGCAATGCGAGGTTGGCTAGTTAAGCGTAAATCCGTACAAATAAATCCTTCAGCGGGTTTAATTCGGTTCGTGTTTGTTTATACCAGGGGTTTTATATATATTGTTAACGTTTGCGCGCGCGACGCACTGAGGGATTCAGTCTTTATTTAAAAACGCGCCTCGTCAAGAGTTTAAAACAAACGCACAACTCTCGTGTTTAATGAAGCTTGGTGACGGCAGCCAACATCTTTTTAAATGTACACTTGAACATCAAGGGAAACGGCAAAGCCTTGTGTCAGATTTTATGTAACGACTGTTTAGTCTAGGTAGACTAATATCGATGTCGTTCGCCAAATGAAATTAGCTTTCTTGACCCATCTAGAGAGTGACACCGCAGCATTTTAGAATATAGCTCAAAGCTTACGAGTGAATCGGACGCCGGTCACTTTTAACAGACTTGTACTTTTGGCTTCATGCTTAACTTAGTGAAAACCTTGTTTAAGGTTAAATTGACCCAAAAAATTGCTTTGAGCACAGATCAACCGCATGGTAATAAAATCATAAACTGTAACTGTGTATACAATAATTTAACGGTTCTAGAGCTGCTTCCAAAGTAGTAGTAGTAGTAGCAGGATAAGCGATTGATTTATTTGCAGTCATCAAACACACTAACTAGATTAATAGCTAGCTATCTAGAGAGGTTGCTACCTAATTTAATGTCAAACACTTAAAGATGTTTTCGTCACATTAAGATAACTACGTCAGCTGGAAAGGATATGCAATGTTCGGGTTCGGGTTAATGCCGCTCCTAGGGTATTTTGAATCAGGGGAAGCCCAATAATTAAAAAAAGAATCGAAGAAGGCATAACTTATCTTAGAAAGCTGTTTTCACAAAAGGCGAGGTCTGTGCATGTTATCGAATAATTTTACCACAACAGGTAATTAAAATTCAATGGGCGGCCCATGACCCCCCTTTCAACCAAGTTGACAATAGCGGGGTCAGCTCAACGTAAATGAAGAGAAAATTAATGTGTTACAAACAAACTACCCTCGAGAAGTGAATTTGCGGAATGCGCACAGAAGCAGATATCTGATGAAAAATAACGCGTTCGCTCCTACATTAGAGCAGGCGAGTCGGCTTTTTGTTAATGCTCTACTAATCTGTTAGCCAATCAGAACGCTGCTTGTAAATCAGTAAATTGAAAAGAGATCCCAGCTTGGTTGTAATATTGAGGTATCTCGGAGCTTGATTCAGCGTTTGAAATCAGGCGTAAACATGCTTTAAGCAAATTAACAATGTGCCCATTTTGGCATTTATGTAAAGCTTAGGCGAATCAATCTGCAGATGGTAGCGGGCTTGAAGCACGTTGCGTTTATTGTAAAGGAAATAGGCAGCGTAGACGGGATGCTTAAAGCAAGAAATGCGCGCAATCGGCGAGATGTTTCGTCTTTTGTTCCGGAAAACAACAGAGGCCACAACTACGTCAATTGCATAGGAAAAAAAAAACATTATTCAACTTTCTTAAAAATAGATTGCAAAAGTCGACACTTGCACGAAAGCGCGTGAAATTAGACGAAACTTATGATATCGATACTTTTTCCCAAAATATTGCAAAATAGAAATTAACAATTGTAGCGGTGGAAAGAACTGATGCTTCTTTAGATGCGACCTTGCGTCAAGCTGAACTTGCCGTGGTTAAAGCCGGATAAATCTGACAAATAGCTCCAGGCGAAAAAACATTAGTGGAGTATATTATGAGCTAGTTAATCAAGCATCTAATATACATAACAAAGAGAGAGCACTCTATGACTCCCTATTTATTGGCAAACCCTTTACAAACTTCTTATACCTTTGTCAAGAATATTTGCCGGAGCCAAGCGAGCTGAGCACACTCGCTTAAAAAGGTAAAGTGAGTTGCTATTTTTTGTCCTCTTGAAATATAGTTTGTTGTGTTCCTTTTCACTTAGCATACTTAAACAATTAGAAAGAGATAGAGAGAGATTTTTTTTTAGTTTAATTTGTGGTCAAATTTGTTCCTTTGTACACATGTGAAGGAATTTGGTTGCGTTCTACTCGCCTAGTTTCGAAACGCATCCAGATATAGCAAAGCTAATTCGCGTTGTGTCTGTTGGCTGCGTTCTTTTCAACGATTTGTTTCGCATGTTTTCCTGCTATCTCATGCTTGACTATAGTTGTGATAAATCTCTGGCAAACAAACAATTTCGTCCACAAATCCTTCCTGACGCCTAGACACGAGCCTGTGTTTACTACGCAAATATTTGCCGAAGACGAAGGCAAGCGAGCCTCTCGCCTTCGATGTGACTAAGACCGGGACAGTCAAACCGTCGTTCCGTATCGAGTCGCGATATCCGATGAAAATACCACTTGGTGAGATGTGGTCGAAGACAGGGACGATTTTGTTTTACATTTCTGGTTCATTGGTTTAACACGGATTCATTCGACTGAGGTGTGAAGTTAGGGTAGAATAGTGCAGTGATCTGTGATAAGCCAGTAAATACCTTTGAATTTGATTATCGGAACGAACAGCGAGGTGCAGTGAAGAAATTGAGTGCGCTTGAAGGTTAAACCGATCGAGGTTGAACGTTTGCGAGAAATCTTAAGACTTAAGTTGATAAACTACGGCAAGATCTCAGGGGAAGGGAATGACTTAAATAGGGCTTAAACAGCTCACGGAATTTCTCGTGCGCGTAACTCGACTTCAGTATATGAGATATAAAGTTGTTTCTTGTGCAAAGGTAAATAGTTTGTGCACTGAAAAGTTGTTAGTGTCATTTTTTCTCGAGCAAATTCAGCAAAAGAGCATGGCATTGGCTTGAAGAGAAACACTTCTGTATCCGTTGAAGTCTGCGACTTTTGCTGCCACACATCACTGCTCTAGAATACTGAAGCATGCAACGAGTTAAGCTGAAGACGCAACGAGCATTTTGTCTCTCTCTGCTGATCTGCGTCGAATTAACACTGACGCACTCGATAGGAACCCCGGTTTAAAAAGCCCGAAGTTGAACCGCAAACCAGTCAACTTGAACATCAGAAAGACACTAAACATGTGTAGCGAACTGGCGAATCTGCTGCGAGATGTTAAAGAACGAGTTAATTTGAGCGAAGGATTTATCATAGAGTGAGGAATTGGGTGCACATGTGTGTTGCGATCAAGAATATTGTTTAGTCTGTAAGAGAATCCTTATTCATAACGAAACTTTAGTTCAAAGACTAGTGTGTGTTTTCTGAGTTGAGGAAGCAATTTTGCTTAATACGTGAAACTCTTGACTGTCTGCACTGCACAGCACAGCAAAACGGTACAGTTTGTTTTATATAAGAGGCATAAAACCTGTAGATGCTTATCTTTCTGTGCCTCAAGGATGGTTAAGATGCAATGATAACACAGGAAAGGTAGAATATAGCGCTTAGATGACGTTTGAGCCATGCCATCAATACACGCAAATGCATCAGTCTTGAAATCTCGTTCTTATTGCTTCTGAGAATAGACAATTCTAGAACAGCCACTAACATTGTTTTCTGTTTGTCGAGGTCTTCCCATGTTTCCATTATTGTATATTTGCATTGCACATTTATATAATGATTGAAGAGCACTTCTAAAACAGTTTCGAAATCTAATAAAAGAGAAACATAACTGAACAAAGAGAACAGGATGTAATCAGCGCTTTCGTCTCACGCTTTCATCGGGGAAGGAACAAGGAACTAATTCGTCATCATGCAGTTGAGGTTATCAACCCGCACGGCTTCGTGCCACAAATAGGTCATTTTAAGAGGCAACGCTCTCTTGATTTCGTGCCTGATGCCGCGCGCTCTTGCGTGCAAAAGTCTCTTCAGCGTTTTCCGTTTGATCAAGCACCTTCTTGGCCACTTTGGATTTCAAAGGTCAAAAGCATTTTCCGCGCAACATGTAAATCTTGTCTCTGGGTAGAGCAACTTAAAAACTTTTTCATCTGCCTCATCTGAACTATATTCTATCATAACTCTCATTGCAAAGTCCACCTATTCTGAATGAACCAAATCAGTATTTGATGGTTAGCCCAAGGGCTTAATTAATGAACATAGGTTAAAAATTCCAATACTTTATGCTAATCAAAAACAAGCGAAATCATGTCTTTGTGACTTCATCCACAGTGTCAGAAAACCTTTGGAATCTTAAAGAAAAAAATCCCAGAAAACAGCACGAGCTCATTCGAGAAAAAATCAGGCACTGAGCTTGAACGCATGTAAGCCCTAATATCGCGTTTTTTGTACTCAAACCCAGCCGCGCGTTAAATCTCTTTTTGGTTACATAGAGATTAAGCGAAATTATGTTCCACCACATAGACACGTGGCTAGTTTTTTCGGACAGCTGCACTTTTTTGTGCAATGCGGCGAGAAAACTTCACTGGCAAAACGTTTTGTTGAACATATTGGAGGTATGTCTTTGCTTTCGAGCAAAGGGAAAATGCCAATGTGATGACGTCATTGGCCTCCAATGAAGAATGGAATTTCACTTGCCCGCCATGAAGAAAAATGTACAAACCAAACTGCTACGGAAGCTAGATTAAATATTTTTGTCGCAAAGGCAATATACTATTCACCCACTTTAAGCATGAAATGCCAGTAAATTATCTAAGACCTGCAAATATCTGCCGCGCGATTGCGCTACATGCCACAGTAATTGTCGAAATATAGCCGGGAGCATTTTCTGTCTTGAAAAGCGCTCACAGTCAAACTTGATAAAATAGAGTAACCGCGATTTCCTTCCGAATCATTCTCGACAGGACAAATTTCTGTGTAAGAGCTGTTTAACCAATTCGCGCCTTTTCAGCCGACTCTCAAGACATCAAGTGTCTGTGTTCGCTTGTTAACAAGTCAACAGCTTCTTAAAAATTCATCTCACGCCCTCCGGATATTAATATTCATCTCACAACTTGCACATTTCATAATTAGAAGTCAAAAGGTCTTGTATACGCTCAGGGGCAAGTCGGAAAACAATAATGAAATGCGCTTATATTGTGCCATGATCTGCGAGAAGTTATTTTTCAGGACCAACATTGCGAACGCAAACAGCTCGCCACGACTTAACGAATCGAGATTGCTAGTCTGTACTCCCTAGCTTCATTCTAGCATGAAATTGGCGAAAGTGGCTCAATCATTTATTGCGCGAAAAACAAATAATAAAAACATAACAATGGCCAGTGGGCGCTAAGTAGTTTCCAATGCCCGTTATTCGTGCAGCCGTTTTCCGCTTTCCTCTCGTCGGAAAACAACAAAAGAATTTTGCCAAAGAGATGCAAATTTGGTTGCCAAGCTTCGCTGTGAAAAAGCGCTTTGTAGGACGCTATTAAGGCATCACCGACACAAAGAGCGCTTTTCAATAGGGTTCGAGATCATATTCAATCTCCTACTTGATAGTTTTGCGTTTGTTTTGCATCGACTTTCGCTTGACGCCAGTTTTGCTCCCGCTGCATATATGGCGTGGTGTAGTTAAGGTAGTTCTCTGATACGGTACAGTAAATATCTGATCCCTAACTAAAAATCAGTCACAGTTTACTGCTTATCGCACCTCGCTGCCTTTCTCCTCGGCGCAGATTCCTTTGCAGTGTGACAAACGCGCGCCAAAGTGAAATCAAAGACAATGCCAGCTTACATATGGTAATTTTTTGCGCACAATCTCGACGCAGTGACAATCAGGAAATTCGGACGTTCCCTTATCGTTATCCTCGTGTAATAAGCGTTGCGCTGTATCGTACTCAATGCGAAAGCCATCTGTGGGAATCCCACAAAATATTGACTGTGGTGGTCGGCCTTGAGAATTTTGGGTCGAAATCCCGGGGGAAGAAAATGGTTATCAAGTGATAATACTTCTATTAAACATAGATGAATGACAGATCGGCAGTTGTTTAATTGTTTTCCGGTCACCCAAATTAGGTTTAGAGAACAATTCCTTTCTCAACGAACCAATCAAAAATTCGTTTTGGGAAAATCTGTCAATCAGTTTTGACTTGGGTTCGTTGCAATATTCCGAAAGCCAAGGAATTGAAGGGCGCGATCATTTGCAAGTCTCACGTCCGAAACCACGAGGTGTGTGATAGGAATGCGAAGTTGGCAAAGGGCTTCGCTCTGTCTGCTTTCTACAGTGCTTGAAACGCTCCAGTGATCTGCAGCAGAAACTTGATAGTATTTGTGCTCTTTATTTGATTTTCACAGGTTTTCGCTTACGGCCCAGTGACAGTGTTTAGTAACGCCTGACTGAGCTCGAAGCGCCTGAGTGATTTTTGGAAAGGCAAAATACACACGGATCGACGGGTCCCCCGGAATGGCTCACACCACGAAGCAAGGTAGTTAATGAATGTTGTGTTTAGTAGCAAAACAAATCCGAACGCACAGTCTAAGCGCTTCTTTACTGCTCCTTAGGACATGGAGGGGTTAACCAGCTCGGAGGGTTGTTCGTCAATGGAAGACCTCTACCAGATGTTGTTCGATCGAGAATTGTTGAGTTGGCTCAGAGCGGAGTAAGGCCATGTGACATTTCCCGGCAGTTGAGGGTTTCCCACGGTTGTGTCAGTAAGATTTTATGCCGATTCTACGAGACTGGCTCCATTAGGCCTGGCGTAATCGGAGGAAGTAAGCCGAAGGTAGCAACAGGTCCCGTCGTCAACAAGATCGCCGAATACAAGCGTGCGAACCCCACCATGTTTGCCTGGGAGATTCGGGACCGGCTTTTAAGCGAAGGAGTATGCTCATCTGACAATGTTCCCAGTGTGAGCTCCATCAACAGAATTGTTCGAAATCGTATCAACAGTGGAGACAAAATGAGCCCGACTAAGGAAGAGATTGCAAACGGAGGTTCCGAAGTTAATATGAAAGTGGAGAGTGGTGGTGTGCATGTACCGCGAAGTTCGTATTCCATCAGTGGAATACTCGGAATGGGAGCCCACCCGCCGAATTCCATTCCATCGAGTAAAAGGAAACATTCTGTTGAGAGCGCAGAAAGCACAGGTATTTTGGCGTGTTTTATTTGTTATTTCGAAGTTGTGTGATGGAATTTTTTTTGTCGTGAGGAAACCCTATACTCAGACACGACCTTCTGCACATGCGTATAATTATTTCGTAATTTTATCGTTGCCGCGCGCGCGAAAATTTGTTTACATATAGGTGTAATTTTGTCAGTGGATTAAGATCGTTCAGAATATGACTGTGTACACTTTTTACTCTCATTTGTATTAACATTTTATAGATTTTTTTATTCAGTTACGAAACTAGCGGAAAGAGAATTAGTTGTGAACCTATTCGAGGCTTCTGTATAGTCGAATTTAATATTGGAAACGCTATGAAAAGTCAGGGTTGTTTTCTCAGAACAAAATCGCTGTAAGAGAACTAGGAAGACACAATTCGGAATGTAGGAAAATTCTTACCTTTACTCTTGAAATTTTAGTCATCCAAGTACATGTGATTAAATTGGAAAACTGAAATTTTTTGTAAGGTACATGTATGATGTCAGTAGAATTGTCACGCACGTCATATTGCCTTAATCCCTTCATTATCTAATTGTTTCTCTTCAAACGTCTCCAGATTTGATTTTATTTATTTGGTGTTTTAGCCGAACCAGTTTTTGAAATCTCTGATGACAAGTTTAGGCTATTTTGAATTTTAACTTTTTGCAAAGACATACAGATACATTGTGAGGTTTCTCAAAAATATCCATTCCCTTGTGGGTAAGTCTGGTGTTGTCAATCGATAAAATTGAAATCAGGGGTATACTTAATCTCGGACTGAGTGGAGGGAAACAATATTTGATTCTAAGAATCGGGAGCTTCGAAAAATCGAGCATGGCAATTCCACTGTCCTCTCTTAAATTTACTTTCTCCCTGAGAACATTCACTCCTGGACTTGAATGTGTAGAATTGTGACTCTGAAATTTACTGATTGATATAAATTTCAATGTAGTGTGCAAACTTGTTGACGGATGTAGCTTTTCAAAGTGTAACCTAACAAATTAAACAAAGTCAATCAATAAATCCGATGAAATCGATAACCTTAAAACTTCGCTAGTGTGTGAGTATTGAGTTTTATCGATTGATTGATAACATCGATAATACTAAAATTCAATTTATCGATTGATATCGATTTGTCAAGTGGTTTTTCAATATTGATTTATATTGATTGACTACCCTGGGGGTTAGGGTCTGGGGGTCTGCTTTAGGAAAGCCTAAAGTTAAACTAGACTTTTTGGGGAACTGGCTCAATAAGAAAAGCTCAAGTGGGTATGGATATTTTCTGAAACTTTGTCTATATGATGAAGGACACAGCACCACCATCCTTCAATTATTCCTAGGAATGATCGATACCAAATTTTTCTTTCTCTTTTCTATACATTGTCAGACAAACAGTTAATCTTGAATAATAATAAAGAAATTAGGGTGGATTTCTTGTTACAGCATCAAGTTCTCAGAGTAACAAAACAAAAATTCTCAGAGCTTACATGATGACAATCAAGCTAGGGACTGTATATGGGTAGTTGATTCTTATTTAGTGGATAGTCATAAGTTATAAAACTAAATCAGGTCTTTTTTTTCCAGCAGATCTTGTTTTTACTAGGAAAAGTCACCTTAAATTTCACACCCCAAAATGTTGCAATTTATGTCTGACTTAAACCTTAATTGTCACCCTCTAGATAGGTATGATGAGTGTTAACAGTTCAACTTTTGTCTCCAAAGGGAGCCATTCAGAAGAGGAGGTCCAAGCAGAGGGAGATGCTACTTCACCAACAGATCTCCATGGACGCAAGATAGTGCGCCGTCAACGCACTACGTTCTCTGGTGACCAGATTGAGCAGCTGGAAAAAACTTTTGAGAAGACACACTATCCCGACGTCTTCACTCGCGAAAAGCTTGCTCAAGATGTTGAACTTTCTGAGGCAAGAATTCAGGTACTAAAGTCATTGCTGTTAATGCTGGAAAAAGAGGTTGAAAAGATTGCAGTGCTTCGGTTTTGATCTTTAAAGAACTGGGATTATCTATCACTGCATGAGACATGTTTCTAACAAATTGCCTAATGATGATCATCGACATAGAACATAATAAACACTAACCGATTCTAAGCTTGGAAATGAATTACTTCAAATTCAGGTATAATTTGTGTTACTTGTGAATATTGTTACAGGTGCAAAAAAAGTGCAATTTTGTCCCCAGTTTATTTGTGTATAATAGGAAAATTGCATACTTAGAATTACAAAACTTCCAAAAAACAAGAGAAAATACTCACTTTGCAAGAAATTTACATTTTAGTTGTGTTTCTTTGTCAGTCATTTTGGCAAACTTGGATTTTTCATTTGTGTAGTGTCCTGTTTTGCAAACAAGCTGCCAAAATGATCAATCAAAAAGAGTTTTTTCTGAAAATGGTGATTGCTTTAAAGTTCTTTTGCATCTGTAACTCTGTTCTTCTTCAGTGACACTGGCATGTTAACCTTCAACTTACATTAATGGCGTGTATCAAATTAATTTTCCAGCTTAGCAGTGATGGATTTAACCTGGTCTAATTTCTCTTGTGTTTTTGTGCAAGTAATTAAGAGTAATTTTTGTACAGGGCATGTAACCAGTAACTGCTGCTTACGCATGTAGTTCAGTCTGTTAAAATAGTCATATTATGAGCTTATTGCATTTGGCATTATATTCTTTGCAGGATGATGTGATTGGTTTACTGTTATGCAATTATCTAAATCTGACCAATTGTTTCATTTTAGAAGGTCATTAGTTGCAATTTTACAGGAACACTTTCAATATTCAGGTGTTTTGACTATCTGGATTGAAAATGTCACTTGTGAGTAACAACTGCTTGTGATCCAAAGGTCAGAAGCTCAGCTGAATAATGTTAACAGGAGTAATTTACTGGAATTTTTCCTTCTGAACAAAGCATTCAAGCATTTATTAATTTCACTTATGAATTTCAAAGTAAAATTTGAGGACTTTTCTCTTTGATAAACCTTTTCCCTGAAGTTTTATATAATTATATTAGTGTTACAGTGAAATTTTTTCAGAAGTTCTTGACTTTAGCAATTGCATTCATCACACTTAATATCAAAACAAAATTGCCATCAAACAGAACTGCCCTACAGGTCCTGACTTCCACCTTCCTGTTTGCAGGTATGGTTTTCAAATCGAAGAGCTAAGTGGAGGAAGCAAGAAAAGGTGCCTCCTATCGGAAGCCCCACAGCAGCTAGCCCCGCCCAGACAGTGCCGACAACCTTTATTAACTCAGCTACTGGTTACCCTACAACTGTGATAAGCCCTCCTCCAAATCACCCCACACCAGTTCATGATGAGAGCATTCCATCTCATCAATACCCTCAAGTTCATGACGTGAGTTTGTGGCTTGTGTAATGTAACACAGACGGGCTCAAGGTCAAAAATTGTTATCATACAAATTGCAAAGGGATCCAAGAGTGCATTCATTTAATGATTTTTCAAGTGAAATGTTGTATTCACAGATCTTGAGATTACATGTAAATTTCTTTGATTGGTATAGTGCACTTAGTAATCGTATCATTGTCAAGATCAGACATTGTACCAGGACATGTACTGTGTGAATGGATTTTCCAATATTACTATTTAGAAAATAGCCCTATGAAACTATTTGCACTGAATGGTTAAAAATTTCATTTCCATAACTTGATAGAAACAGAACTAGCAAGAGCTGTTGATGTAATGATGGTGTGAGCAATTAGAATTTACATTTTGATTATCAAAGTAGACAATAGAAAACATGTTCTCCATGTTCCTATTGAGCTATAGGAACACTCGTGAAAGTTTGGGAGAACATGAAAAAGCTGTGGAAACACTCATCTTTTGGCTTGTGTTCGCACAGCATTTCTTGTCTCCCAAACTTCCATTCATGTTTTGTAACTCAATAGAAACACAATACATGATATGTACATGTTTTCTATTTCTTGAATATTATTTTATCAGCTATGACTTTTACTGAAAACAAACTATTTGCTTTCATTTCATGATGCAGTAGACGCTCAGTAGATATTATTTCATGTAGCTGATTTCTGAACTTTAACACCATGCCTGGGTTTTATTGTCAACAGGATGCGCCAGTAAAAGCAGAATTAACGGAGCTTAAACCAGTTTCTGATCCCAACATGGCCATGCATACAACCATGGGCATTCCCAACTTGGCCCCACCACCACAGGTTCAGCAGCAGTCTTATGACATGATGCGATCTTCAGCTGTGGCACACAGCCCAACGTTCATTGCTGTCCCAAGCAGTAATCTGATACAAGCTTCCCATCCCATGGCTAATGGACAGGGGTATACTATGCGCCTCAGTGACCACACTCAGTCACACCCAGCTAGCCAAAACACTTCTTCAGTAGGGTACTCTACTGTTGGGCAAAGTGTGATGACAACTTCACCCTCTTATGCCTCACGTAAGTATCTATCTATCTGCCTGCCTGCCTACCTACAGTGGCTGTTGTACGGTGTCCCTAAAAGTTGTGTTATCAAATATAGATTTACGTTGTATTTTCTCTTTGTTATACTGGTTGGATGGTTAAACTTACTGCAGATAATTCCTTATAACCAATTTTAAGTTACAGCTTTCAAATTATTGGAAAAGTCCATCTTTTACAAATCAAAACAATTGACCAACCAAACTGTTAATTTATTGGGGGAGAAGGAATGGTGTAGTGGTGAGAGTGCTTGCCTCCCACCAATGTGGCCTGGGTTTGGTTCCAGCCTTGGGCCCATTTCTCGAAGGTCACAAAAAGTTTTTGCACCCAAAAAGCCGTAGCAAAATCTCACGCGTTTTGACTGCAGAGCTGTTTTATTCATGTACTTTTAACATGAACAGAGATTCTCTTGATACAAGAAGTGTCAGGCGTATGCACCTCTCTGTCTTTAAATACCGATTAACTAAAAATGGCTTTTCAGGCCCAAAAAGATTCCGCGGCTTTCAAGAAACGGGCCCCTGGTGCCACATGAGAATTGAGCTTGTTGGTTCTTGCCTTGCTAGCAGGGTTGTTCTCTGGGTTCTCTGGTTTTCCTCTGTCCATCAAAACCAACATCTCCAAATTCCAGTTTGACTAGGATTGAGGACCTGCATGAAAAGGCTGATGTGGTTTCCTCTTTAAATATTGTAATTCAATTTAAGAAAAACACTAAAGAAGGATCTTATTATAAAATGATTCTTTCTAATTCTCTGTTTTTTTTTTCTCTGTGTTCAGGTAGCCCAATACAGTATCAGCGAGTCATTACCAGTGGTAAGTTTTGTTTGTTCTATTTGGGTGCTAGTGGTAAATTCAAGGCTGCAATAGCTACTGTAAATGAAAAATGATCTGACTAACAATATCAAATAGTGCAAGTGAATATATGAACAGATCGTATATCTGAAGTGAGTGAAAAATGTAAAGACACGAATTATCATTGCAATTATGTACACTACTTAAGTAGCTGTGAAATTAAAGCCCGAAAAAAACATTCAGGCTTGAGAGGGATTCAAACCCATTGCCTCTGCAATACTGGTGCAGTGCTCTACCAACTGAGCTATTATGTGGGTGCTGGCGAGTCATTGTGATCATTCATGTCTTTATGTCTTTCCCGCAGTTGAAATGTATGATATTCCGTAATTATATTCAATTGTATTCTTCGCCATTGGCAGGTATATTACGAACGTACACTTGACTAACTCTGAGTGGGCTTGATAGCTTGATGGCTAGTTTCCCACAAAAATTAATTGTTATAGTTGTGTGCCAAATTGCACACTGCAAATCAAAAATGTTTTGTGTTTATGCAGCGGTTTCCTTTTTACTTGTCAGTTGCAATTTCCCCCCTCCCCCATTGGAAATGTGCTAAGTTTGGCTGAAATTGGGGAAAATACATGCAGTAGATTTATTGAACATGAGTGTAAACACCCTGGTCTAATCTTTTTGTCTTACAGGAGGTGATGTTGGTCAGGCTACCTCTCCCCCTGCTGCCAACCCTGCCCCTGGATATGTTCTCCCCCCAGTGAGCACACTCACAAGAGGCCAGATCCCAGCAGACATGACTGGCCAGTTNTTTACTTACTACGCATGCGCTGCATTTAACTGGGTTCTTTCGGTAACAAAGAAAAAGCTGAGAATTGCTGGGTTCTTTGCATCGTTACCTTTCCTAATATATCTTTGTAATAAAAGACTAAAGCCAGCAATACGCTGGGTTCAATTATAGAGAAAAATAACGCAGATAGTGCGGGTGTTGAGTAAATAAAATGATTGCTCTATTGACAGCATGTTTCTTTTTTGCAATCCTTGTGCGTGCGCTGAATTGCATCAGCAAAAGCGCACACAAAAACTGTGTTCGGCCACCTTAAGCAAATTTACACCTACAAAACACAATTAGACTGACTCAACATCTGTGAAAATTATAGTTTTACTGCTTCCTTGAGGTTTTAGAATACACCGATGACAAAATAACACAAATGCTATCAAGCTGTTACGTATCTCAAGCAGTTTCACAACTAAAGTTTGCTCCATCAAGAAAACCAATTATGGCTTTGGAGCTACTTAAAAATTTTACACTGCACTGTAAATATTTTGCACACTTAAAATTTCGGACACTTTTTGTCAGAAATCAAAATATTCCGAAATTTTTTTGCAAGTAATATACCACAAGAAAATAAATATTTTGTATCATGCCATAGAAAATACATTTGGTAACACAATCGATGCAGCGCAAGATGGTTTAAGGTTGGGTGAAATACTGTCATGTATGCTACAGCCTTTCTGTATTCTGATTGGCTGTACATTCTGTGGCATGGTATAGTACTCTCATTGTATTCTGTGTATTGTTTACAGGTAGTTTCACATTCCCAGCGTCATGGCATTTGATGTTTGGATCACCTGTTCATCCACAAGGCAATTTGTTTTGAGTAAATTCAAAAAAAAAGTTTGAACATTTTATTTTGACCAAACGAGAGCTGCATCCCCTCCTTGACACCAGAGTTATTTGCGGGGACTGGTTATGAAGCCCTGCAAACATCAAAGGAGCAAACAAAGATGCCAAGATTTATGTTGGAAGGTCCACGACTGTGCACAATCTTTTGTTTTGTGCTCAAGCACCATACATGTTTACGTAACCAACAAGTTTCTATTGGTTAGTTCCTTAGTACGGAGTAAACGACTATTGTGTTCTGTGCACGGTCAAGGCCAAAAATGCAAACAAAAACATACAACAGAACTTTGTCAGGTTTCATAACCATTCCCCTCTATTAACTATGTGAGCACTTTGTATAAAACTAGCTTTAGGCTTTCTAATGAGCACAGAATAAAGGAAACTGTCACTGTTTGTTGTCAGCTTAATCAATGCTTCATCCCTGCTCTTTAAAATTCTTTTATCCACATGAGCTAATCCCTCACCTATGAGTAACTAAAATGTCTGAATGTACTGTTCAGTGTCAGTAAAACAAAAATTTATGCACAGTCCCAGTCTGGCTTATCTTGTACGCCTAAAATCCTGCCTCAATGGCTGGACTCTTTATCGCGCAGTTAAAACAGAGTGTGTATGATGACAACAGTTAAGAAAAATGCATTTTAACCTTGAATGTTAACCAGACATCAAAAATACAGCACCTCCAAGAAAAGTACTTTTATTGAAAAAAATATTTGTCTATTGGGCAGAAAATACATTAAAGAACTATCTAGTATTAAATTATACTCCAATCATTCAGGAATTATTTGTAAATAATTTTCTGGCAATTTGTATCTGTCAGCTCTACATGTATTCTAGGCAATGTTAATTTTTATATATCTTTTGATAAAACTGTACAACTATTAATAATAACTTATTTTATACGATTTGTTTTAACTGCATGTAATAACTGCGCTAATAATATGTAACAACCCAATACCCATAATATCTACACTACACTGAGACATACGAATGATTTTACTTAACCTGAAACATTATGATTCTAATATTCAACATGTATTGGACAGGAAACACAACAAAAAAGATGATTTCCAGAATAGTAGGTTGTATCAACAAATCTTTGCTGAAGGACTGTTGACATTTTGCCTCCTTTGTGTTAGAATTTCCGGGTGGTAGAAGTGCTAACTAGCCCAGGCCCTCTTTGCAAAATATTTAGTTACTGACCCAGACAAAAAGCATTTAATACATTGAGGTCAAATTTGTTGGGACAATTTATCATTTAGTGTTAATATGAGGCAAATATTGTAAATGTAAGAAAAGATTCCCCTATTACACAACTACATGGTTAGTTTCACAAGTTATGTAAAATCACTCTAGACCAAAAAAACATTATCATCACCTTGCATTGTTGAAAGCCAATTGTAAACATTATATTAATGTACGAAAATATTATCAATATTCTTTGGATGGTTTTATGACAATAATTTTTAATACTATTAAAGATGCACTTGTGCACAAGATATATAGGAATTACGTCACACTTGCAGAGCAAGTTTAATATTTTTCAATTTTCTTTAGCAAAGAAAAATAATTCAAGAAATTTAGCAACAATTTAGGCAGGGCATGACAACAAATGAATATGATATTAAAGATGTGATTAAAGATTAAAGATCAGATAATGAAAGTATTTGAAAATCTAAGTTCTGTATTTTAAAATACCAAGTATGTTGAAAGTAACATTCTTTTAAAGCAGTTTCAGGAAACACAAATTAACAACAATTAGAAAGCAGTAGTTACCATTTGATATGACATCATAATCCCATGTAGCTTAAATCAAAGAAACATATTTTTGGTTGTGTTACTGATATAANTTTTTTTTTCTCTGTGTTCAGGTAGCCCAATACAGTATCAGCGAGTCATTACCAGTGGTAAGTTTTGTTTGTTCTATTTGGGTGCTAGTGGTAAATTCAAGGCTGCAATAGCTACTGTAAATGAAAAATGATCTGACTAACAATATCAAATAGTGCAAGTGAATATATGAACAGATCGTATATCTGAAGTGAGTGAAAAATGTAAAGACACGAATTATCATTGCAATTATGTACACTACTTAAGTAGCTGTGAAATTAAAGCCCGAAAAAAACATTCAGGCTTGAGAGGGATTCAAACCCATTGCCTCTGCAATACTGGTGCAGTGCTCTACCAACTGAGCTATTATGTGGGTGCTGGCGAGTCATTGTGATCATTCATGTCTTTATGTCTTTCCCGCAGTTGAAATGTATGATATTCCGTAATTATATTCAATTGTATTCTTCGCCATTGGCAGGTATATTACGAACGTACACTTGACTAACTCTGAGTGGGCTTGATAGCTTGATGGCTAGTTTCCCACAAAAATTAATTGTTATAGTTGTGTGCCAAATTGCACACTGCAAATCAAAAATGTTTTGTGTTTATGCAGCGGTTTCCTTTTTACTTGTCAGTTGCAATTTCCCCCCTCCCCCATTGGAAATGTGCTAAGTTTGGCTGAAATTGGGGAAAATACATGCAGTAGATTTATTGAACATGAGTGTAAACACCCTGGTCTAATCTTTTTGTCTTACAGGAGGTGATGTTGGTCAGGCTACCTCTCCCCCTGCTGCCAACCCTGCCCCTGGATATGTTCTCCCCCCAGTGAGCACACTCACAAGAGGCCAGATCCCAGCAGACATGACTGGCCAGTTCCCCCCATCAAGCCACGCTCAAGTTCAGCCACCATATCCTGACCAGTGGATTCCGTACGCTCCTCAGGGGTTCATTGGCAGGCCAACAGTGTTCCTTCCAGCTAATTGGTAAGGCTGCTGTCAAATCATGTATGTTTATAGTTGGTACACTGGATATCGGATGTCTGCAACATATGTTTGAGCCCTGGCTGAAGTTCTTGCATTGTATTGGGCAAGACAGTTCACTCTGACAATGCGTCTATCCACTTAGCTGTTAAAACACATTTAAATGATGCGGTTGAAGGGGTGGGGGGTAGGGGGGGGGCTGTGACAGACTAGCATACCATTAAAAGGGAGGGGTACAAAGACTCCTACATGTAGTGGCGTAATGCTCTGGAAATAGAAATAGCTTTCAGTAGTATGGGACACTTGGCCCATCCCAGACTAATGAGCCATGCTGTAGTAGCACCAGACGTACTAGACTTTATCTTACATGTTCATGTCACCTGCAATGGAGTTGTAGGTGACATGAAGTCACGCTCAAGTTCAGCCACCACATCCTGATATCTTGACCAGTGGATCAGTGGATACTGGCGCTATATAGATCTTTTTATTATTTATTTATTATTATTATGAGGGGTAAACATTGCTTGTCCCTTCATTTCACAAAAATCGGAGTGGGACGCCAACACTGATGATGTGTCAGTCCTGGAACAGATTTAGCATGACCAATGTCCTGATTCTTACTTTTTCTTATATATTTTTCAGGACTACTTCAGCCCCAGCTCCATCAAGAATGTCAGGCACAAAACTAAGCACCACTGCATAAGTTAAATTTAATGTGGCACTACTTTATCTTCGTCATCATACCATCGCCGAATGTCTAACCATGGAGTGGTATTGATATAGCTATGAAAACAGAGTTTGTGAATTTCTTGATGAAATTTATCAGTGTACACTTAATTAGATATTAGAAGAAATGTTTTGCATTAAGTTCTGAACACATTTTGGGGGTTCCATGTGATGTGATGAATGGAACTCCGAGAGCTATCGCTTTTTAGAAATTCAGAGTTGAACTTCGTGTTTATTTTTGACTTAAGTTTATAGTGTAATCTATTTTTGATACTTGTGTGCAGTGTATCTCAGAAAGTGATTGTTTTGGTTAAAAACCAAAGAGGAAAATGCTCACTACAAAACAAACATTCTCTTAAATCACAGATGAAAATGATCTAATGCAAATAGTCTGTCAAGTTATGGAACTCAATTAATCTACAAGAATTGATGTTAATCCTAGATTATCTCAATCCTTCTGGACTCTAGCAGTCTAAATGATGGCTTATCCGCACTAAGCTTACATGAATTCATTTTTAATTGAATTCTCTAATCATGGCTCTGGTGTGAAATCAATTTATGCCGTGCTAATGTAATAAATGTTTTTCCCGTGTCGTACACTTTAGGGAAATTGGCGTACACGTTCGGTGTATGTGTATATAGGTAGGTAGGTACTTGTGAACTTAGATGTCGTAACTTACTAGTGTATAAAATTACTGTAAAGAGGTTATGTCACCACCTTTCTTCTTGAGGTTTTTGTTGGAGAGCATAACACAAAAATAACCTGTCAACAAGTCAACAGTTGGCAAGGGACACGGGGCAGGTGCGAGAAGAAATTAATTCTTCCCTCGAAACCTTACTGGCTAGTAAGCAGCTTGTAGGACAAACATGCATATGTGTATATGTTGTAGGTCAAAATGAAATTCAGGTGAAAATAAAATTCCTTTGTCTCTTAACCCTAATTGTTCATGGATCATGAATAATTAGGATTAGGAGACAAAGGAAACTGCGAATTAAACTAGGTTAAAATCATTTTAACCTACAACCTCGATCTTGGAAAGAAAATTGAAATTAGTGCTATTTATTGCCAAAATACATGCTGTGTTATTTCGAGTTCTTAGTGACAGGACCTTGAAATGAAAGTTCTGTGATACGAGCTCTTCGGGAAAACAAGGTAGTTGTGATAGTTACACTTCTGTGGTCAGACGTGTTAGGATTCAATGGAAACATAGTTAACAGAGGGGAGTGGTTATGAAGCCCGGCAAACATCAAAGGAGCAAACAAACATGCCAAGATTTATGTTGGAAGGTTCACGACCGTGCACAATCGTTTGTTTTGCGCTCGTAGGCTATGCGTGAATTACATAACCAGCACGTTTCTACTGGAGAGTTCCTCAGTACGGAGTAAACAGCTATTGTGTTTTGTGCACGGTCAAGGCAAAAAAAAGAGAACAAAACATACAACAAAGAACTTTGTCGGGTTTAATAACCATTCCCTTCTATTAACTATGGTGGAAAGATTTGCATGAATGGAAGGAGTATTGATTGAAAGTTTTGTTTGACTAGCATTTATCTTAAGTCATGAGCTCTTTCTTGTTGGTCCTAACGTAGATCCAATAGTCTGAGTAACATTTAGTCGAGAGTATTTAGAATACACAGTTTGCAATACGACTGTAGCATTTAACCCCTTCCCTTAGGTCTTAGTCTTATAAATTTCATATCTTGGAATCTGCAAGTACAGACTTCCCAGATTAGACCACTGAAATGAAAACTATATGGAAGTACTTTCAGCTTTCAAGAGTTTCCAATTGTTTTGAAGACACAGGACACTCTATTGACTTGAAGGAGGTACAGGGTTGAAGACTGGAGTCTGGTCATGACTATTATGAGGGGGTACCATGGGAGACTTTCAGGGGGTGGGTTGGGAGTAATTTCATACATTCTGAATGCCTCAAAGTACAAATGTTATTATTTTTTTCTATATATACGCGTGTGAAATACATGGCCATTTGTACATATTTACGTCTGTTCGTAACTAAACGTTTTCAGGGCGAAGAGGAATGCCTTCTAAACGTTTTCTCGCCTAAATATGTTGCTTCAAGGGCAGGGTGCTATGGATCACGATAAATTCTCTTTTGAATGGTCTTTAAACTCCATGATTAATTGGACTGGCCAAAGAATGAAGAGGCAGTGCTCAAGTTAATGATATCTGGAAAAGACAGACGTGGTGAAAGGCGTAGAAGTACCCTCTTTAAGTTTTCTAGATTATTTTGTATAGATATTATTTTTATCGAAATGCAGTTCTGTACGACAAGATGTAAAATAGTCCTTGCATTTTCGGCGAAATATTAGACGAAATTTCTATATCAGCCACTTAGTTTACCATAATTTGTGTATTTGTCCTTGTAAATTACGCGATGACGTTACATCATCTACTACCTGTACTACCCAATCCACTGAAACAAATCGAACAGACAAGAATTTACAATACATTTTACTGTTCGTCCTTTATCACGAGAGTTTCAGTGTATACAAAAGTATCTCTTAGATAATTTTTTTAGAAAACAATATCCGTAGCGTATTTTTATAAGTTAAACGATGTTTCTAATCTTTTGTATAACTACGGAGATATTTTTCTACTTTAAGAGATGTAGTTTAGAAAGTATTTTTGTAGGCACAGACCAAAACAGTATTTTTCTCATGGTTAATATAATGAGATCTGTTGTACGTGTAAGTACTATTTAAGCACCGCGGTATGTATTTAAAGGATACATTTAGTCGGTTTGTCAATAATAAAGTGTTAACCTCTGATTGTGTTGTTGAGTTGTCATGAAACCTTATGCTTATTCCATCGAAAAAGAAGTATCACCGCGTGACCATGTTCTTTTGTGCAATATGGTTGACCCGCGAGGCTTTGCAATCACCCTAGTGATCAGAAAGGAGGAATTTCTGAAAAAAACAGTCATTTCGTGCATTAACATATTTGAGGCGTTAAACAAAGTAGACTTTGATCTTTCAATTAAAAGCCGTTTTAATAAGAAATTGAGATTATGAAGCAAACTTCAGATTTCTCTGCGTGCATACATCACCAGCATAAAATAACTCCTTGACAAAACTCGCGCCACTTTCTAATCCAATCAGAAGTAAAACCAAAACCAATTGTGACTACTCATTCGTTTTCCCGCGCTTTTAGTCAGCTACATGTTATTACTTCGAGTTTTGATTGACTGTAGTGTCTGTGTGCTTAGTGATTGGCTAGAGTTATTACTTTGGCTTTGGATTTTACTACACTCATATTGAAAGCGCAAAAAGACGATGGAAAAAATTTTCTTTAATACCATGAAGTCTCTGTGCAGTCCTGTTACTTTCCTACGCAGAAACTCTTTGGGCTATTTGACCGCTCTTTGAGCTCGTAACGAACCCAAACAGCGTCTATGTAGGAAGCTACAGGCCTTTTAGCTTCTCAGTGATCTAGTCTAATCCACATTAGAGTTGTTTCTTAAAATACTTCAAGTTTAGATTTACTAAAACGTCTCAAATATGTTCGCATAGAGGACGTTTGAAAACAAATAGACTTAGTTCTCAGTTTCAAACTACCAGTTCCTATAAATAATATCTAATCATGTCTAATATTGGTTCTAAATCGTAGATGGCACTGCATCAAGAGCATAGGCCCTTGGTAATTTTAGTTAGCTCAGATTCTCAGTGTCACCACACTTTTGGCATATACTGGTGTTAATAGCAGTTGTCGATCTTTCTCGAAAATGCCATTAATGGTGACTTATTATCAAGCTATTTAAAAAGGGCTGCCAAACAAAACTGGCAAAGTTTGATCAACTGCCATACGACAGAAATCAAAATGACCGCAAGAAATATCACAGGAACTGTTCCCAGAATGATGATTTCAACGACATGTAACACAGTCATACAAACTCGCTCCTGCTCCGAGAGAAGCCCGCCATTTATAGCAAGCGCAGCTTCAGCCATGTTGATGACCGCCAAAACAAGCAAGGCAGTCAACGAGGCCGTTTCTGCATGATTAACACGTGGGTCTTGGAATGGCTTTTTCCATATATGGTGCACAAGAATAGCAGCGCACGTGACACTCAAGCAAACCAGCCGAACGAAAGGAAACACGATGAAAGTGTGGAGGCAGATCAGAACCAAGCGACGACCAATTAAAACGCTTTCCCAGTACACGGTTCCAGGACCCTGGCCACCGCTACTTTTCCTGAAAGGACCGTAAACAACATCGTCCGTTAGATCATGGTAATCGTGCTCGGCTTCGGTCGACCGATCGCTAGTTAGCAAAGGTGATAGTTCGTCGTTAACACGTTGAGTTTCCGTTGCGTTAAGGGAACTCTTCTTGCAAGTAACCATCCAAAGAACAGCGAACGGCAATGGAAAGACACAAGCACACAAAAATTGCTTTGTAGACATGACTTTGCCGTTAAGCAGACTTGATCCAAGGTACAAAACAAAAATGAAAGGGATTATGTAAACAGCCAGAAAAACTCCACACATTTTTTGCCACCATTGCCAACAATGGATGTTTCCATCGTAGAAGAAGCGAGAGGTTGACTGGATTTCCACGCAGTTCAAGGTCTTAAGTGCTGCGCACGCTAGTGCCGAATAGCCAAGCAGCAAACATTCTGTGGTAGCTCCAAAGTACTGACCAGAGGAAGGCAAGGCCGGAGACTGTTTCCGAAATTTCCTGACAGTCCCATGCAAGAGAAAAATGACCAGGACACCTGATAACACGGCGAAGACCTGAGAGGCATGCAAGAATATCTTTGAAGGCACTGTGAGCCCGCGAAATGGACAAACCAGGCCGTCGTTTGAACTGATTGCTTTAAAGTCGAACCAGCCAATGATTGGAGTCAGCAAGTAACTGTATGCCAAATGCATCTCAATGCCCTCAGAGACGAACACTAAATTAGCGACCTGGTAAAAGTAGAAAAGTACTTTTACGTATCCACCGCCTTTTGAAGACGGATCGGATCCAAGATGGCCATCTGGAGTTGGCTGTCCCCAAGGTAACAGTCGTTTGATCAACCGTATGATTGGATTTTTCCACAGAAGGAACAAAGCAAACGCCAAGCTGTATAACAACGCAACGGGCCAGAACCAATAGTCCGTGCAGAAGTCGTTGGCTCGACACTCAGGGGAGAACAGAGTTTCTGTAAAACCGGGCTTACATTCACCACAGAGGAACCCAGAACGGTTTCCGGAGCAGCCGCTGGACAAATAATGCTTGTTGTCATAAGGACAGCTGATGCTTTTAGTAGGACAACAATAACCGATTGGACAATTTTGAAAGTTGATAAATCCATGGTCTGGTAACAAAGGAAAACCCCAGAATTCTGGTTTTGCAGCAATGCCACTTGAACAGTTTCCACCAAACGGGCAAGGCAGACACGTTTTTGCAAATGGCTTTACACTGTAGAATCCTGTGGAACATGCCTTACAACTGATGATAAAGGACTGCGACATAGCCTCATATAACCCGTTTGGGCATTTATTATTTGAAACGAGGTGAGGGTGGGAGAACTTTGTCCAGCCCCTTAGCGTCCCCACAGGGCATTGAATGACCGAGGAATTGTCAACATGTGCAGCACTTGAGCCCGTGACCATGACATAGGCGTCAATGTCCTGGGCTGTGTAGACTGTGAGAGTCGCGTTTTTCAGATTTATGGGTCCTGAACTTGCATAATATATGAATCCTCGAAAGCCTGCAGAAATCATTAATTTGGGGTAAAGGAGGCGAGAAGTGCCCATTTTCCAATTTTGTGTGTGCTCAAAAGACGTGTTGACTAATTCAAGACTGGTGGAACTCTCTGCAATAAAAATTGTATACGCTGCAAAATTGTCAACAAATTGGCAATTGCTTAGAGTATTGTGCCCGTTTTCCAATCTCATTACTGAAGTATCCGGGTTGTTTTTATGGAACGCAACTTTGATAAATCGGATCAGGTTTCCGTAATTCCATTTTGGAATTTTACATGCGCGGAGATCTCTTTCATCGGGCGGTAATCTAAACAACAAAATGGTACCTTGTACTGTATTGTTCTCAAAAGTGGTGTCTTGTATCGCTATTTGGTTTCCTTGTGCTGTAGTGTAGATGAAAAACAAGGCCAAGCTACCGAGACCAGAATTTACAAACCAATTTGCAGTAAAGTAAACGCGTCTTATCTGCAGAAAGGCGTTTGCTTTCGCCTTAATCTCCATGGAAAATAGTTCATTGTTTACAAAGTGAGAGTCTTGTAAGAAAAAAGTTGAGTTAGTTCTTTCATTTAAGCCCAGCTGAATATAAATTCCTCCACCATTGTTGTTCCTGTAGTGTAAGCCACTTATGTTCATCCGTGAAAGATAAAGACCTACCACTTGGAAATGAATTGGCTGTCCCTCCAATGTGTTATTATCGGCCCTTGGCTTTGCTTTATTTTCAGAAATGACCGTATCGATAAGAGTGAAACTGAGTTGATAGGAGTCAATACTGATGGTTGTCCAGTCGTATGTAAAACCTTCATCCTGCGAATTCGCATGAAAGGTGCAGTCAACAATCGTAAGTTCTAAGAAATAACCTTCAGTGTACAAAGTTGAACTCCCTTTGGCCACCTTGTTATACACAAATGAAACATTTTCCAAATAAACTTTTAGGTAACCCTGTTGTGCAGATAATGCCAGAGTACCACCCATGGGAAAATCTTTAATAAAGTCTAGATTGTGTAAAATATTTCTCATGAACAAGGCATTTCGAATTAGAACTGAACCTGCCTCTAGTGTAATCGCTATCACGTATATCGCTGATCCCTCGTCTCTGGCGCTGTTTTCAAGAAATTTGCAGTCTTCGATCTGCAGAAAAAATTCGTCTAAACTTTCAACCAGCATGGCACCACCCTCCAATGAGGCACTGTTATTGATGAAATCAGACTTTGTAACGGAAATGTTTACCATGCTAACGTCTCGGTTCACAGTGATCGCTCCTCCGCCAGTATTATGACAAAACCTTGATTCACTAATATACACTGAAATGCTGCCCCTTGTTGATTGCTTTCTGATATAATCTGTAGAGTACGGCTGAGAAATAATGCTCACGTCCTTTTGAATGCTACCTCTATTCTTCTGGTGACCTTTCACCGTTTGCCCGTTTGCAGAATTAACATAAATTGTCTGGATGTGAAGACATCCTCCCATGGGCGCCTCGTTATACATGAATGAGATGTTGGTTAATGTCATAGACAAGCCATATTTCTTGTGCTGTCTTGTTAACAATACCATAAATACAGCGACATCAACCCTTTTAAGGCTTTCCCAAGTAACGCTATTGTCGATGAACGTGGTGTCGTGAACTTCTATTCGAGGGCTGTTCCCGACAACACAGATGCATGAAAAAGCATTGTTACTGAAAACGGAGTTCTTTATTGTCAAAGAGAAATGTTCCTGGAAAGCCTCAAAATTGACTACAGCAGTTGCGTTCGGGATAGGCATCGCATTTGTGAAGAGACATCTGTTGACATACAGCGAACAATTTCTAGCAGTAACAGAGCTATTAAAAAAGGTGAGCCCCGTTAACTGTATAATTACTGTCTCGGATGCCGCGTTACTCCCATCAAAAACGATTTTCCTTGAGGACGAGCAGTTGAGGAATGCCTCAGCGTCGCCAAATCTCTTCAGAGACAAGCTTTTGTCGACGTAGAGTCCACCTGTATGTGATGTCGTCGGCAAGCAGGGGTATGGATCACGTGACGTGTCAGTGCCATCGATGTAGATGGTGTCGTTCCACTGCGCCTGCGCAAGGGCAAGGCCAATCGTTTTGCAGGCATGGTGAATCGTCTCACCGCAAAAAGTCAAGTTGTTTCCATAGTGGCGGGAAACATAGATTTCTTTAGAGAAAACAGGCACTGCGGAAATATTTTAAAACAATTTTAAGTTAGTTTTAAGGCAAATATAAAGGTTCTTCAGTCGAACCTCTCCACAACGGCCACCTTGACGACAGGGGTGCCCGTTATAGGGAGGTAGGGATGTAATATGACACTTTTCTTAGCACGTAAATACGTAACTGTCAAAATATATCAATAAAACTGAAATCAAACAGAAACAGAGACCAACGACGCGCGGAATGGATCCATTTTTGTCACCTTTTGCAATAAAACATGGGGCAGAGGCGGCGGAGTGTTTTGAAACAAAAGGGCTCATCGTTAAGCCAAACGCATACCTCTTATCTCTCCTAGTAGCCTTTTGGTGGCAGGCGTTTCGCAAATGGTTCTCAGATATTTGTAACCTGATCTACTTCGGGCAGACCATGAAACGGAATAGTGCTATTACGAAGGGGGGGGGGGGGNGAATAGTGCTATTACGAAGGGGGGGGGGGGCAGCCCCCCAAATTTTCGTGTTTCCTTTCAGGGGGTGGGGGGGCTACAGCCTCCCTGCCCGTCTTGCTTCACCGCCTGTAGGGTATTTGTATACACCGTTCGTCAGTTGTTGATTAACTGGCCGTTGTCGAGAGGTTAATCGCGCAGTCTAATCGCCTTGCGTCACGCTTTTAGAATGCCGTCACACTAAAGACACTAAACAGACTCAGGATGCAGCGAAAACGGTGTTCAGGCTTGCTATAAAACGTAACATAAATACTGTCAGCGTATTGTTTAGCAAGAAGCTGAGATTATGTGTTAACATTTACGAATAGAATATGTATTAGTTCGTATTCCCAATACATGTCTGCTCGAATACATGATTACGTAATGTAACAGTAACATGACAACTTGATGAGGCTCGTCTCTGTCGCAATAATGATGAATTGTGCTGTAAAAATGTTGTAAAATCAGGAAGAAAATCATGGACAATGGGATGACAGCTTTCCTCCCTGTCAGTGCAGATTTGACCCTGTTCGTGTTAAAGCTCTCCGCCGTGATAGTACCTAGATGTCTGAATTTGGTTCTCACCCTTTCAAATTTCATTGTAAACTTGTTTTGTTGGTCAAGGACAAATTTCCAGCTTCGACTAATGATTCAGCATACTTTTCAGGTTACGCGTGTTTTATACCTTATTCCAAACTGCAAGCTAGGGAAGAAAGCCGGAAGTGACCGGAAGTGTCACGTGCAGAATACATATCCATAGTCACTGGAAGATTTGCTCGTCTTCCCATTTATATGTATATTCCAGATTAAAATGCTTCATAACACAGGGCCGATCATGGAAAATACGTTACTGAGAAGTTTGTTGATGAAGTGTTAGTCATATACAGACTACAGAAAGTAAACTGACTTATTTCCGTATGAACTGGAGGTATAGGGACTTCATAGTCACTTACCTTTGTTGATACCCCAAATACTCAAAGTTAGTAAAATGTTGATGAGTGAATTCATCGGTAAAGTTCAGGACAATCAGAAGCATCAAACAATTCTAGTTGAGCACAGTCCAGACCAGAGTCGGAGTACAGTCCAGATTCATTGAATAGATCGAGCCTTGTAGTTTCATTTTTCTATTCACTCGGCTGTCACGAGACCTGGGGGAGAGGTCAACCGACGATCACACGCGATCTCCTCGTGACGTCGTTTCTTTAATGGGATCATCCACGAAACAGGCGTTACACCGGTTTTCGACGACATCTTGACGGGTAGGCAAAGCGGTTAGAATTACAAAGTTTGTATGGGAATCCGATGGCAAATAACTTTTTCCAAAATTGAACTTTACACACTTTGTGAATCGCAACGTTAAAATACCAAGTTTGAAGGACGTAGCTTGGCTAGAAGACGCTCAGTTAACTTTTCTAATTTTGTAATTTCGAACCCGCTTTGCCTACCCGTCAAGATGGCGTCGAAAACCGTGATAAGGCCTATTACCAACGTAATGATGTCCAGCCACCTCTTTGCAGATAACGAGATTCTTGTGTCCATAGTTAGAGAACGGTATGCAGAATTGTAGCGGACCTCTGTCTGATGTCGTTTCATGCAATACCTACTGTAGTTGATGTTGATAAGTTAAATACCTTGGAGGGAGGACACAGCCAATAAATCCCATGACTAATACTACATTGCAATGGCAATATTAAGAGTGCTAGAACAGTAGAAGAAATACTGTACTGATGTATAGTGGCGTGTTCTGTTTTTTAGTTACGGGTCGACAATGTTACGTGTAGGAAAGATTTGGGCTGTACACGTTTTTCCATTCTAAATCCCACCTGACCTTGTCTGAGGAATTCGTTAGATGGAATTAACAATTCTTCTGAGGAAAATCTTTCTGAAGCCTTCGGTATGAATAGAACATTCGTTATTAATAGCCAGTTGCTACAAACGCTGAATCGAGTGGATAATGGAAACGAAGTGAAGGTATAAAAAGGCGGTAAATTTGTGATGCGGTGTTAAATTCTTGAGTTGAATGAAACATTTGGAGAGCAAGCTAGGCAGAGTTTTTCTTCTAAAATAGTCCTCGTACAATCTTCTCTCTAAAGTCATCTATCATTCTGGAAAATTGAGACGAACAAGAGCTAACAAAAAAGGTTTATGATTTGGAGGACCCGAAGTAATTGCGTTAGGCGGCTGTCATCATCAATACTGATCAATACTACAATTGTGTTGCTCAGAGAGTCCGACCCGATCAAGAAGTTTAAAATAGATAAAAGGACAAGACCACAATGTGAGGTAAATGCAAACAAAAACACTTAACTGAAATGCTAAGCGTAATTTTATGCCAAAAATCTCTTTGAAATCGCATTGTGAACGAAAATGTGCGGGTATTCGATCCTTCCTTGTATTGTATCAAAGTGCACGTAGGTTGCTTTCTTTTAAGGGATACTGTATGGATAAATATTACTGGGGGGCGGGGGGGGGGGTTCCGAGTATTGGCCTAAATATCCCTTATCTCGTTATTCCAGTTACTAAAATTAACGATTTTCCTACTTGATACCCTGGTTTATCTTACTTAAATATCTCAGATCCCCGGCTGACGGACCCATTCTCCTTAGGCCTTGAACCACAGTAACGCGTAGATTCCCAGTTTTGAAAATTCACAGAAAATAGAGGAAAAATCGTACGACTATCATAATATTTTCTTCAATGTGATCAGAAGAAAAAAGACTATTTTGACGGCTAAGGAAAAAAAATTAGGGGTTAGGGGCACTTAAACTTTTTCCCCAAACATCCTGTATCCGGTTAATTAAACTCGTGGATACGCGAAGCGTAGAAACGTGTTTCTTGCGGGGACGTCGATATGCAAATGTGTCACTCACTCACTCACTCACTCAGGTGTAGACACTGTTCGTAATTGGTCGGCCCGAACGAGAACGCCCGAGGCCGACGCCATGTTGGAATAGTAACCGAGCCCGACGCCATATTGGAATAGTAACCGTGCAGTCAGCGCGAGCCTCGCTATCGTGTTTGCGC